TTATAAAACAGCTTTCATCCAATCGTTTTTATTTCAGGCCTTCCTCTCCCCACGGCTTTTGCCAGTGATCTGCATGGACCAGAGTGCTGGTTTTCCTTGTGACTGGCCTGTATTCTCTTTTCTTGGGTCTATCAGACAGGCTGTTACCTGCTCATTTAATTTCCAGCTTCCACATCTTATTGTTGCTCTTTTTTCCTCCAGGTCTCTCTCTCCTTGTACATGTACTCTTCAAAAAAAAAATCTCTTATTTGATATTTCCTTTATTTCAGGAGTGAGTGAGATTAGGTGGCTGGTTGAAATGGCATTTTTAACTGCTAGGTTCCCAATGATTTCTTTTTCACATGGGAGACCAAGGCCTAGAGAGAAGAAGGAATGTGATGAGGTCCCAAAGAACCCAGCTTTCCTGAGTTCCCATCTTTCAGAGGACAGGAAGACCCAAATGTAACATAAGAAGCTTAGAATTTGACCGGTTGATTTGCATTAAGAGAAGTGTTTTTGAGGTCAGATACTCCTGGGTATGAAGGCTAGCTCTGCCACTTTTTACTGGTGTGACCTTGGAGCAGCTCCTTCCCCTCTCCGGGCCTCAGTTTTCTGATGTGTAAAATGGGAATGACAGTATTTTGTAGGATTGTTCAAAGAGGGAAGGTTACTTTAAATAACATATGTGGAATGCCCATCATATAGCCCTGCAGGAATATAACAAGTACACATTAAATGTTAGTGCTCTTCTCCTTCTCTGTGGAGCTAGAGACTGAATGAGAGTTGACAACAAAATCTCCATCCCCAGGGCAGGGGCCCACCCGTGGCCAGGACCCACTGCAACCAAGGCCAGGTGGCAAGACTCTCACAAGCCTGGGCAGGCCATCTGAGTTAGAAGCAAGGCATGTGATCTCACCAGTCCAGCAACATGGTGCAGAGTTTGACTTGGAAGGCAGACCTGGCTTATAAAGCCCAAAGAAAGTCATGAGACTTTAACTGGGATGCTTGGGCTGGAGACACCCCAACTCCTGGCTGGTTTGGATCTCGGAGCTAGTTACCTGAGATGACCCTAGTCACTTCCTATGGAAGTTCTTTAACATTCAAATCAGTGGTGCCTTTGGACTTGGTGGTGCTCTGGGGAGCATCCAAGAGTCAAATGATAGGACTGTATCATTACTTCCTACCACTGATCATGTATTTATTCTTATTGGCTAAAATAAGAATAAGTAGATCTATTAAAAATTTTTGTCATTTCAACCAATGAACTAATAATTATCAAATTATTATTTATTGAGAGCTTAAGAATATGATAAGTACTATTCAAAGTACTTTATATGTGTTAATAAATTTAAGCCCCATAACACCTCAATGAAGGTGATACCATTATTATGTCAATTTTATAGATGAAGAATTTGAGGCAGGGCAAAGTGACATAACTTGGACAAGGTTACACGGCTGGTAAGTTGCATATCCTGGATTTGAGCCCAGGCAGTCCAGCTCCAGAGTCCACACTCTCAAAATATTATGTGAAGTGTTTCCTGCTAAGAAGAATATTGAGCCATTAACATGTTCTAAAGGTATTGTTTTAACTATACCATTGGGTTTTGGCTGAGGTATTTCTGCACCCCCCCTAGAATACATTTGGCAATGTCTGGAGTTATCTTTTGTTGTTCCAACCTAGGGTGGAGGGCTACTACCAGCATCTAGTGGGTAGAGACCATATGTGCTGCTAAACATCCCACAATACACGGGGCAGCCCCTACAATGAAGATTTATCTGGCCCCAAATGTCAGCAGTACTGAGGCTGAGAAACTCTGACATGGGCCCAGGAGACGAGGGGACTATTAACATTCCATATTTAAACAGAAGGAATCTCAAATGTAAAGAGATGTGAAGCATGTTCCCCAAGAGGACAGAGTAACCTTGGAATGGAGATTTGAACCCAGGCCCTCTGACTTTAGAGTCCAATAACTTCCTTTTCCCACTGCAGGCTTCTCTGTGAAAATGCATTTTCCCTGCCCATTTGGCTCTTTTCCCCACCCTGAACTTTTATGTTGAAAATTATATGTACAGAGAATTTGAAAGAATAATATAATCATGTCCTCCTTTACCTAGAGGTCCACTAATTTTTAACATTTTCCCACATTTGTTCTACCCATCCCTTGGTCCACTCCAATTCTTTCAGTAGGTCACCTGGCCTGTAGCAAACCCTCAACGAATGAATGATGATTAAAAATGGTGACCCCAAATGAAAGCCTACCCTATTCAAAGCTGCCAGTGTGTCATCAGCACCTACTGATCAGCTCCCTTACACCGATGGCACCGTTGTTTCTTTCGGTTCCTGCTTTTTTGAAATGAAGCTGCCAACAGGATGCCCTGTGCATGTCTTCGGAACAAGGACATTCTCCCACATAGTCGCAACGTGATGATAGCCCTGAAGACAACCTTCCAAATGCCCGAGAATGTCTTCGATGGCTGCTTCCCACCCCCTACCCCAATCCAGGGTCTAATCAGTCTGCAGACATTTAATTTGGTTTATGCCTCCATAGCTTTTTTTTTTGTTTCAAGTCTAGAATAATTTTCCCTTTTTCTGGTTTTTCAGGTTTTTTTTTTTTTAACCCCCAAAGAGTCCAGGCTGATTATCCTGTAGGATAGTCCATGTAATGGGTCTGTCTGGCTGCGTCCTGATGATTTGATCGGTGGCAAGCATTTTTGTCAAGAACCCTCCATGCCGTTCTTACTGCTTCACATCAGATAGTGCGCGATACCAGCTTATCTCCTGATGGTGAGGCTAATTTTACACCTGTGTAAGGCGGTGGCTGCAGCTCTCTCCCATGCGAAAATACAGTTTACTCTCTCAAATTACGAAGTGGTTTGTGGGGTGATCATTTGGGTCCATGTAAAAAGCATCCTGTCCCCCAAACTAGGAAGTTTTGTTTTTATACACACTTGTCACTCTTCAGACTGTAGGACTTCAGAGAGAAAAAAATGACCTTACCTCTTCAAACCCAAGTTTCACTGGGGACAACAGTATCTCCCTGCTAGGGCTGTGGCAAAGATAATGCTACAGACTGAATTCTGTCCCCCGCCCCCGTAATCCATATGTTGAAGTCCCAACCCCCAATGGGACAGTGTTTGAAGATGGGCCTTTGGGAGGGGATTCGGTTTAGATGAGGTCACCAGGGCGGGACTTTCATGATGGGTTAGTGACTGTACAAGAAGAGACACGAGACAGCATGCTGTCTCTGTCTCTCTGCTAGGTGATGACACAGTGAGAAGACAGCCATCTGCCACCAGAACCAGACCATGCTGACACCCTGATCTTGGGCAGCAAGTCTCCAGAACTATGGGAAAAAACACTTCTGTTGTTTAAGCCACCTAGTCAATGAGATTTTGTTACGGCAGCCTGAGCTGCCTAAAACAGATTAAGTGCTAAAATGCTCAGGATAGTCTCTCAGATATTACTTGACCTTGAAAAAGCTAATGTGTATAATGAAGTTCTCTTCCATAATCCGAGATGCTGGGGGTTTACTCCAGTCACCAAGGAAAAGGGCAGAGCTGGGACAGGGAGTAACTGGGCAGGTTTTGTTCCCCCGGGTGCACTGAACTTCTCAGAGTGTGGACTTCACACAGGAGAAGTGTCCAGTGACCCAGCCAAGCCATGGCCACCCTACCAGCATGGCCTAATGCTGCCCTTGGCCCATAGTAAGATTGCTGGAGAGACAGAGGGGATGGGTTTACAACTTACCACTGCCTCTCGCCAGCTCTAAGACCCTGCGCTTGTCATGGACCCCTCCAACCTGTTTCATTATCTACGCAGGGGAGATTAACTGTGCTTGCCCACAGGGCTGTTGTGAGGATTCAGTGAAACAGCAAGTTCAGCCTGACATGTATCCAGCACTCAATAAACGTGGGGAAGGAATGGTTATTAGAAATAGTGGTAAAAGACAAAAAAAACTCCAACACAGAGCAAAAGGTGAGTGGGTTCCCATACAGATACTGATCTGGCAGTGCCCTGGGAATGAAGGATGGGGACCCCGCATGCCTGTTCTCCTGGAGATACCAGCATAAGCCCAGGAGACAGGAGCCCCGCCCCGAGGGAGTGAATACGCCCTCGGAGGTAACACAGACATGTAAGCAGACATCTCGTGACACACGCTATGAAGGGAATAAACAGAGAGCCATTGCAGAGGCTAACTCGGGGGAAGGGAGTCTGTGGAGGCAGTTGTCAGAAGCGAGCCTCTCAGAGCTGACAGGAAGAAGGAGACCAGCAGGGTGAAACCAGAAGGGTTAGAGGGAGCCAGCTGTGCAAATGGACAGATGAAAGAGCATTCTAGGCAGGGGGGGCAGCAAGAGCAAAGGCCCTGAGGTGGAAAGATGCAGGGCAGGCTGGGGGAGCTGAGTGTGGGGCTCTGGAGCCTCATGAATGAGCCTGAGGTGCAGGGAGTGGCTTTGAGAGTTGAGGTGGGCGTGGCAGGCAGGGGCCTGATTGCTAAGGGCAGTGTAGGCCATGGAAGGAATGACAGGAAGCCACTGAAGGTTTTTTTTTTTTAATTGTGCTAAAATATGACAGAACATAAAATTCACCACTTTAATCATTTTTAAATGTCCCGTTCAGGGGCATTACGTACATTTATATGGCTGTGCAACCATCACCACTATCTGTCTCCAGAACTTTTTTATCTGCCCCACTTGAAACTACATCCATTAAGGATGAACTCCCTACTCCCCACACCCCTTTCGGTGAGGAGCTCTGTCGCCCAACCAGCAGTTGGTATAGGTGGAGATGACTGCAGACAGATGAAAGCAATGGAATGACAATGGCCCATGAATCACTGAAAGGCACAAGCAGGAGCAGGAAAGGCATCGGAGAGGGCGGTGGGAGAGGACGGTGGTTTGCAGCAGAAGCGGAGATGCAAGGAGACAGGAAGCACTGGGAGGCAAGCCAGGCTGGACTGAGCATAGCCACTCCCATCTCCGGGCAGGGGTGCTGGTGGGGCGTGGGTGGGGGAGGTACTCACAGCTGACCTGGGAGCCCAGCTTGTGCTCCCAGACGGCATGCAGCTGCTGGTACTCTTGCTGTGCGAGCTCCAAGCGCTGCTGCTTCACCTGGTAGATCTCCTTCTGCGCGCTCAAGGCCTCCTGGGCCACCACCAGGTAATCCTTCAGCATGTGCTCCTGCTCCCGCCGCCATTGTACCCGGGGGTCCTCAATCTGGGTGGTTTCTGGAACAGACCCCAGACACCCCAGATCAGCACCTCACAAATGTCTTGCTGGGTTGGTGGCCTGTGGAATCCACTCCCAGAAATCAAAAAACGCAGTAAATAGAAATCACGATAGAAAGCAGATGGGTTAAACTTATCTATTAAACAACAGTGACTCTCCACTTGGATTAAACAAGCAAACACAAAATAAACCAGAATCAATTTCCATACCCAAATTCAAGCCATCTCAGAGCAGCCAGGAGAAGGACAGTGCGAGATACCAGCTTGTCTCCTGATGGTGAGGCTAATTTTACACCTGTGTAAACAGGTTTGCGTTCTAATCTAGACAGAGGCTCAAGGACATTAGAGAAGCTTAAGGTCAGCTGTTTTGGTGGAGTAAAGAAAAATAAATAATATTTTAGAGACGGTGAAAAAATAGGGACCTGCTGGAAATGTAAATTAAAATGAACTTAGAAGAGGACTGACTATGCAAATTAAGAGCCTTAAAATGTGAACACCCTTAGATCAATAATTCCCCCATAGTAATTTATTATTAAATATAATAAAGGAGTCAGGTAAAGATGCACTTGTACCAAATCAGGATAATAATAATAATAAGAAGAAGAAGAAGAAGAAGAAGAAGAACTAGCACTTATTTCACATTAATTGAATGCCAAGCACTGTTCTACTTTATATCTCTTTACCCCCACTGGCCTTACACCAACCCTAAAGAGCAGATTCTGTTATAACCCCCACTACTCAAAAGAGAAAATCTAGACACAGGTCAAATAACTTGCTCAAGGTCACATGGAAAAGAACTGGCCAAATAGGTCTGCTGTATCTTACATTATCCACTGCTACAGCTACTAAAGTGTCTTCAAAGAAATATGGATGAAGTGGAAAGGAGCCTCTGACAGGTGAGTGAAGTGCAGGGGGTAAACTGTATAGAGAATTTCATGATTATTGAAATAATACGTACATTCTCAAAAAGATTAGGAGAAAACTTAGTATGTTGTCGAGAGTAGAGATGTCTTGGTATTAGGATATTTTTTCTTCATTCTTTAAAAAAAAAATGATGTATAGAGTAAGTAGGTACAGCGATCATTTGGAAAAAAAGTCAAAACCCCAAAAGATAGACATTTTAAAAAAGGGACAGCTGGCAGCCGAGCAGACACAAAAGAGGTCACATCAATGTCAAAGAACCGGTGCCCATCACCTGCCAACCCTCCAGAAAGCTCCCAGTGGTGGGTGGGGCTCGGAGGGGCTGACACACAGGAAATGGTACCATCAGGACCATGTGGTGAATCCAGCCAGTACACAGGTGTTGCTTAACCCTAAGTGTTTCACTAATTGTGAGCTGGTAAATAGTATGTAAAAATGGGGAGATCAACACATTAGAATCCTAGTGTCTGGTTTCTCAGAAGATCCAGCTACGCTGAGGCCACACCCGGCCGCAGACCCATGCCGTCCATCAGTCTGCTGGTCCGTTTCATATATTTGTGTCAGGAATCTGACTCCTGGGGGACTTGAGTTTGTGCCACCTTTTGCAGGCCCTACAGCTCTCATTTCTCCCGAGTAGGCCCAAATGAGCATTTCCAATGAAAGCAAGAAGGGATAAGGAGAATGATTTCAGAAGTAGCAGGGCCGGGGTGCCTGGGGGGGCTCAGTCAGTTAAATGCCTGACTCTTGATTTCGGCTCAGGTCTGATCTCTGGTTGTAAGATGGAGCCCCGCATTGGGCTCTGTGATCAGTGCAAGTTCGCTTGTGGTTCTCTCTCTCCCTCTCCGTCTGCCCCTCCCCATTGCTTGCACGCTCTCTCTCTCCCTCAAATAAATACATAAATAAAATCTTAAAAAAAAAAAAAAAAAAGCAGCAGGGTCAAGTTTTCATTCCTGCCAATAATTGCTGTGTTACAATGAGCAGGCTGCTTAACCTCTCTGAATCTACTCCTATAATTACTAAAGAGGCTAATGGGCCCTGCATCCCTGCTTCCTAGGAAGCCGTACAGCTCTTTTGCCCAGGTAAAGTAAATAAACAATGGTTGAGAGTAAAGCTCAAACTATTTTCTGGGACCAGTTTTTTGTTTTGTTTTGTTTTTGTTTGTTTGTTTGTTTGTTTTTTAAAGAGCATGCTGGTATTTTTTCTAAAGATTTTATCCATTCACTTGACAGAGATCACAAGTAGGCAGAGAGGCAGGCAGAGAGAGAGGAAGGGAAGCAGGCTCTCTGCTGAGCAGAGATCCCAATGGGGGGCTCGATCCCAGGACCCTGAGATCATGACCTGAGCTGAAGGCAGAGGCTTTAACCCACTAAGCCACCCAGGCGCCCCATGGGACCAGTTTTTAAACTGTCCACAAATAGCAATACCTTTAGCTCTTCCTCCTCCCTTTTTCTGGGAAAGAAAACCAGGTCTGAAGGTTGCTGGCAGGAGCCACAAGATTGCTTCTCCTAAGAAAAGCTTTGCAACCTTTCCACCAAGAACGGAGGAGGAACATCTGCAAGAAAAGATTAAGAAGGGAAGTATTTATAAAGCTGGGCCCTGGGGTGCCTGGGTGGCTCAGTCAGTTAAGCATCTGATTTGGTTCAGATCATGACCCCGGAGTCTCAGGATCAAGCCCCACATCGGTTCTCTGCTCAGTGGGGAGAATGCTTCTCCCTCTCCCTCTGCCTGCCACTCTGCCTACTTGCGCTCTCTCTGTCAATTAAAGAAATAAAATCTTAAAAAAAAAAAAAAAAAGCTGAGCCCCATGTCCCATCAGTAGATGTGGACTCCCTCAGATTCAGCAGCTCCTGAGTGCCCCTCGAGCACTAGCCTCAGACCTCTAGCTGAGAAAAGACACAGAAAAGAAAGAGCTGGTCACGGCAAGGCTGGAGATGTTTTCTAAAGTTTGTAACTTTTAAAAATCTACATTTTTGAGGAAAAATACTGAAAAACACAAAAAAGGAAAATCTCACAATTCTACCACTGCAAATTTATCAAGTAGGAAGTGAGAGTTTCCATGTCTCTAATCCTGCTCCTAGGAGGTAACTGCTGCTAGGAGTCTCACACACTAGAAGACACTGTCTTCTGATGATACATAAATCGGTTTATACATGTGTGTCTATATGCACTAATTTATTTTTAGTGCAACATGGCCCCATGTCCCGTCTGCTAGTCTGTAATCTGCAAATGATATATCATGTCCATCTTTCCTTGTGGATACAGACGTAACTCAACTTTTTTGTTATTTATCATTTTAATTTTATTGCTGTTTTTATTTATTTAAAAAAATTTTTTTAATCTACCTCGACCATTTAAATGGTTTTATAGTATTCTACGGTATGGCATAAGGCTTGACTTCTGGTAGGTGTTAGTGGTTTCCCAGACCACTATTGGGAAAACATTTGGATTGTTTTCAGTTCTTTTGCTACCACAATCAATACTGTAGTGACAATTGTTAAAAACATAATTTTATGAACTTGTGTGATAATTCTGCAGGATATATTTCTTATTAGAGGGAAGATACAACCAAATTACCTTCCAAAATGTTGTATTGATTTTTATTCTCATGAACAGCCTATGAAAGTGCCTCTTCCCCCAGATTCTCAGCAAAATTGCTTAAAAAAATATGTTCATACTTCATCCAGTAATTTTGGGTCTTGACAGTGTAGTAGACTCAGCCGAGGAACTACAAAAACCAAAAACACAAAAAAGCCAGAACTCTGCCCCAGAACACTTACATGAGAATTTCTCAGAGTGGGAGCCAGGCACTGAGAGTTGGAAAAGCTTCCCCAGGTGACTCTGAAACGCAGACATGCCTGAGAAGCCCTGACTGGGACATGAGAATCATTCCTCGATATATTAACATTCCTGATGCCCAGGTTTTAGATCAGAATCTCTGGGGGGTTGAAATGAGTCAACGGCAATTTGCAAAGCTTGTCAAATAATTCCAATGTGTCACCAAAGGTGAAAACCACTCTCTAAGAGGTGCCAACACAGATGGGCTGAGTGGTCACTGAGGCCGGCAGGCAAGGTTGGCTGGCGTGATGCTGAGCTCCAGTGCGGATCACCCACCAGAGCGCTCGCTGAACCGCTGGGCCCTGGACAAACAGCTAGGGGCCCCCCGGATGAACCCTCCCTCCAGTGCCTGCCCTGTGGCCGAGGCTCTACTCCTTGGAATACAAACAGGAGAGCCTCCGCTGAAGGCTGGCTTGGCTATCATTTTTGGTGGCCCGGGCTCTCTTGCAGTAGAAACCAACACAGATAGATGAATGCACACACAGACAAACAACACACAACCCCACATCGGAATACTGATTTCAACCTGGTTGCACACTGGGATTACCCCAGAGATTTCCATTTAATTGGTCTGCAGTATGAAGAGGGCATCAGCACACTGCTTCAATCGACTTCACTAAGCCATAATTTAAATACAATGAAGTGCAGGCTTCTGAAGCGTATATAGTTCACTATGTTTTGACAAACGTGTACATCATAAACCACTGCTTGAATCAATGTGTAAAACATTCCCTTTGCCCTAACAATCCCTGTACTCTTTTTCCCAGTAGCCCCCCACCCACCTCCTCCCTCTGCTTCTGCCTGTTTATAACTTGGTATCAATGGACCCGTACAGCATGTGCTCCCTGGGCTTTGCTTCTCATGCTCAGTCTAAGGCTTTTGAGACTCATTTATGGTTTGTTTGTGTTTTTTTTTTCAAGATTGTAATTTATTTTTTTGACAGAGAGAGAGACAGCGAGAGAGGGAACACAAACAAGGGGAATGTGAGAGGGAGAAGCTGGCATCATGCCAAGCAAGGAGACGTGGGGCTCTGAGGACCCTGGGATCATGACCCAAGTCAAGGGCAGATGCCTAACAACGGAGCCAGCCAAGTGCCCCTCATTTATGTTGTTTTTATTGCTGACCTGTTTCTTGGTATTGCTGAATATATTTTTTTTAAATTTTATTTATTTGAGAGAGAGAGACAGAGATAGCGACAGAGAGCACAAGCAGGGAGGAGAGGGAGACGCAGGCTCCCTGCTGAG